GTTTATCCCCAGTGTAAGTTTCCATACTCTTACACTCTTAATGTGGTATCAAGGCTCAGTATGAAAGAATCCCTTTTGTCTCTACTCTGACTTTTTTGGTTTCTTTTTTTTTTTCTGTGAAATAACCATGTGCACAAAAAGAATGAGTGAGAATCCATATGTGCAACTTAAAGAATGATGATCACATGAATACCTGTGTACCCAGGATCCAAGCCATAAATACAATAAAATTACAGAAGCCCACCTATTGCATTCCTCTCTGCCAGAGACCACTGTTCTGATGTTCTTCTTGATAGTTTTTGTCACTTGCACCTCTCTCCCGAAGCAATATATCATTGGCTTTTGCCTGTTTTTCAACTTTCTATAAATGAAAGAATATAAGTGAAAAAAAATGTAAGTATCCTTCGGTGATTTGTTCCATTTTCTCAACATTATGCTTTTAAGACTCATCCATGTTGATGCTTGTGGTTGTAGTTCACCCACCAAGAGTATTCTATTGCTTGAATATACCACAACTTATGCTGATCAACATTTGGGTTAGATCTCACTGTTCTGCTATTATGAACATCATTGCCCTGAACATTCTTTTAGTTTCGTCTGATACACATATGTAGCAGTTTTTCTAGGTTTTTGTTTTGTTTTGTTTGTTTGTTTTTAGAGATGAGAGAGAGAGTGCAAGCAGGTGGGGAGGGGCAGAAGGAGAGAGAGGATCCTAAGCAGGCTCCACACTCAGTGGAGCCTGATGCAGGGCTTGATCTCAGGACACTGAGCCTGATGCAGGGCTTGATCTCAGGACGCTGAGATCATGACTTGAGCTGAAATCAAGAGTGGGATGCTTAACCAACTGAGCCTGATGCAGGGCTTGATCTCAGGACACTGAGATCATGACTTGAGCTGAAATCAAGAGTGGGATGCTTAACCAACTGAGCAACCCAGGTTACCCAGTTGTTCCAGGTTTTATAGTAATAATAGAACTTCTGGTCATAAAGTATTGGTATGTTCAAGTCTATGGAAGAATATGATTGCTATGACAAAAATATGCTCCCTTATATAAGATTGAAGATTACTTCTCTCTCAGGTCAGTGATGAAAAGAGCAGCTCCAGGCAGGGGAGTGAGCAGTACTCCACAGTACTGATGACACACAGGTTCCTTCATCATTGCTCTGCCATTTCCCCCATCCACACCAAGAAAGCCGGTTAACTCCATGTCTGTGGGTGTACGCTGCAGAAGGCGGAAGTCCAGGGCAAGCATATTAGTACTTAAGTATATGACCCCAAAATGGCATACATCACTTCCACTCATATCCCACTGGTCTGATCAAACTGCAAAAGACTGAGAAAACTGGGTGGCCAAATACCCAATGAAAATGTTACCAAAAGAAAAAGGGAGACTAGATATTGAGGGATGATAAACAGTTTCTGCTATATAAGGTAAAGCCAGATCGTTTTCCAAATTATTATTACTAATTAACACTCTAACCAAGAATGCATGAAAGTTTCTACTGCTCCTTGCTGTTTCTACCACTGATATTGTCAGACTATAATTTTTGTCTGTCTCGTGATTGTGTAATGGTTTCTTCTTGTGGTTTGGGGGTGTGTGCGTGTGTGTGTGTGTGTTTGTAACTTTTTTCCTCATTTCTCTACTAATAAATGTGATCATCTTTTCGTATGTTTATTAGCCATTCAGGTTTTCTCTTTGAGTTAGTGCTTCAAGTTTAAGCCTTTTGTGTCTACTGAGTTGTCTTACACTTATTCATAGAAATACTATAAGAATTAGATAAATTCCTAAAAATACATAACCTGTCAAGACTGAATCATTATGAAATGAAAATCTGAACAGAATGATCACTAGCTGGGGCACCTGAGTGACTCAGTCGTTAAGCGTATGCCTTCGGCTTGGGTCTTGATCCCAGGGTCCTGGGATTGAGCCCCACATCAGGCTCCCCGCTCCGTGGGAAGCCTGCTTCTCCCTCTCCCACTCCCTCTGCTTGTGTTCCCTCTCTCGCTGTGTCTCTCTCTGTCAGATAAATAAATAAAATCTTAGAAAAAAAAACAAATTATCACTAGAAAGGATATTAAATCAGTAATCAAAAGCCTCCCAACAACAACAAAAAAGCCCAGGACCAGATGGCTTCACTGGTAAATTCTACCAAACATTCCAGGAAGAATCAATACTAATACTTCTCAGACTCTCCCAAAAAATACAAGAGGAGGAACTCTTCCAAACACATTTTGAGGCCAGCATTACTCCTATACCAAATCAGACAAGGATACCACAAAAAAAGAAAATTACAGGCCAAATATCCATAATGAACATACATGCAAAAATTCTCAGCAAAATATTAGCAAACCAAATTCAGTAATTAAAAGGATCATTCACCATGATCAGTGGGATTTATGCCAGGGATGCAAGGATGGTTTGACATCTTCAAATCAATCAGTGTGATACATCACAAGGATAAAATTCATATGATCATCTCAATACATGCAGAAAAAGCATTCCATTTTCTGAAGAAAATCAACAACCACTTTTGATAAAAACTCTCAACAAAGCAAGCATAGAGGGAATGTACCTCAACATAATAAAAGGCATATATGACAAGCCCACAGCTAACATATTCAATGGTGAAAAGCTGAAAGCTTTTTCTCTAAGATCAGGAACAAGACAAGGATGTCCACTCTTGTCATTTTATTCAACATAGTATTGGAAGTACCTAGCCAAAGCAATAGGTAAGAAAAAGAAATAAAAGGCAAACAAATTGGAAAGGAAGAAGTTTTTTATGAACAAAAAAATTTTTAAGGAATTCTTTATATAATTTGGAAACTAATCCTTTGTCAGTTATATGTGTTGCAAATGTCTTCTTCCTGTTTTGGATGGTATTTTTGTATCTTTTCACAAATAAGTGTTCTTAATTCTGATGCTAATTTAATTAATAATATTTTCCTTTTTGCCTTCACATTTTCCTGCCTTGTTTAAGACCTTACCTAACCTTTAGTCACAAATATATTCTTTATGATCTTTAATTTTTTCCCCTTTCCCTTTCATATTTAGAAGCTTAACACACCTAGAATTGATAGTGTATAGAAAGGCAGATGTCTGATGGCATTTTCTTTTAATACAGAAAATCAACTGAACCAGCACCATTTATTAAAAAGTCTATTTTCTCCCTGGATACCTAATTCCACCAGTTATATATATTATATTAAGGGTTCACATATGTAATAATCTGTTTCTGTCACTCTATTCTGTTCTACTGTTCCGTTTGTCTATTCTTGTACTAATATGACACTAATTTAATATCTCTACCTTTATTATAAGTCTTTTCTGATAAGGCAAATACCCCTACCCTGGTGTTGATCTTTGCATTTCCATATAAAGTTTAGAATTGGATTGTTAATATGCACAGGAAAAAAAAAACCCAGAAACATAAGAAACAAAACAAAAAATTCAATTGGGATTTTGATTAGAAGTGCAATAAATCTAGATCAGTTTGGGTACAATTGACATCTTTATAGTACTGAGTCTTCTAATCCATAAACATGCTATTTCTTTTGTCTAGGTTTGATTTCAGTAGAGTTTTATAATTTTCTCCACAGAAGTTTTACAAAATTGTTTTTTAATTTAATGAGCAGAGGAATAAGACAATCTCAGTTAACATTTTAAAGGGATGACTCTGGCAGCTACGGAGGGCTTGGGGGGAAAGGAGCAGGTTAGGAAGCTGTGAGGTGATGCTGGTGACAGATGGTGGCATGGCGGCCTGGAAAGGAGAGGAGAGGGGCAAAAGGAGGCAGATACATGGCTGCAGTGCTATGTACTGGGCAGTACTAGATTTTAGGCATACACAGCAGAATGGATGGATCTTAAAAACATAGTACTAGTGAAAGTACTTAGTACTTAGCAAGAGAAGTGGGAACACATAAGGTGTACTAAGACTTTCTAAGTCTCTAAAAGAGAAAAGTGCTGCCAATTATACTGTGAGACTCCATCTATTGCAAGATGCATCCCAATTTTGGGGATGTTAAAATACCAGAAGGCTATACCTTAGAGAATCAACAAAATAGGATAGCACATAACACCACTAGTGTAAATTAAAAGACATGCACAACAGTATGTATTTTTGCAAGAACATAAACAAATTAAAGATATGCATAAAATATTTAAACCGTTTCCTTGGGGTGGGAACAAAAAGAGAGTGGGGGGTGCTATGGAGAATAGAAAAATACACACACACAAATCAACAAGAGAGAAGCCTTGAAGAGGGAAAACTTCACCTACATCACCAGGGTACATCCGTGGACCTCAGGCCTCTTTCTGATAAACACGCTTAGTGTACCTTTGGTCCTTTTCACCCACACATGTTTATTGTTGTCATTTACTTGGGAATAAATGATGCTAGGGACAATTCTGCTTGCATGCTGGGGCTCCTTAAGTCCGAGAAGAGATGCTTCTGGGCTTTCACCATTCAGTTCCTGGGAAAGAGGACCCCTACTGCCATAGTTGCCCAGAGCGAGGAGGTGCTGGACAAACCCCGTGATATCTGGCCAGTGACATGTTGTAAACCCCAGTGGGGTGGAGATTATCAAAAGGAAGAAGAGTCAGGGGACAGAGGGTAGCTGTACTTGGGATGAGCATAGCATACCATGCAAACTGGTCAGATCACTAAATTATACACATGAAACAAATGTAACACTGTGTGTCAACTGTACTTAAAAGAAAAGGAGAGGAGAGAAAAGGTGAGAAGAAAAGAAAAAGGTAGAGTCAGAACAGCCATTGAAGAAAACATTTTTCTTGAATTTTTTCTCAGAGTAGCCCAAATAAGGAAAGGGTCTGTCTATTCCATGGGTTTCAAGGAAAGGATTTCCCCAGCCATATTTAAACAAATAAATCAGGAGCTTAGTTTTCACATCTTGGTTAATTAAGAAGCGAAGAACCTCCTATCCATTTGATTTGATAACTACTTCCCCTTGATAACACAGTACATTCCTTTTGTGTCTTTCAGAAATTAAAACCTTTATTTGTGCAGTCTAAAATGAACTTGATAACAGGTTCTATATCTTCTGGAAGTGATCAAACACCTTTGGTAGGTAGATTTTTTTTCTATTAAACATTTAATTGGTTGCTATTCTTCAACCTCAGTAATGAAACTTTTTGCTTTACCTGCAGATGGACAAGGACATGGATGTAGTCAGTGATCAGATATTTTTCTCCCCTTTATCAAAAGGTAAGAATCTTTATTGTTGGAAAAAATGGTTCACGCACAGAATGGGTACTTAGTCTAGATTGACATCTCCTTCTTTTTGTTATCCTGAGGCATTTAGAATTCTGGATGAATGCATGGGGTTTTTTCAGCCAGTTTATAAAACTAATACATAGATATGCTGAATCAAAGAATGCTAATATGCATTTCTGAATATTGGTCGCTGCTAATCGAAAGACTAGACTGTTTTAGCAGAGAGAAACCTTTCTTCTGGGCTTCCATGCAACAGAGAAGCTTTTTCTGCAACACCGTAATGTATTAGGAGAAGAGACTCTCATGATTTATCATCAAAATCTAGATGATTGAATTTGGAACCTGTGGTTGGCCTCACATTTAAACGAGAGAGTTTAATTAACAGCAACATTCCATACCCCGAAAGATTCAGTGGACCATTTTGCATCCAGAATTGATTTTCCACAGCCAAGCAAAACATTTTTCAAAGGTCCATTTGAAGTAGTACAAATGAAACTTGATGGCCACCTGAAATGCAGGGCAGCCCCAGTGGAAACAAGCATCACTCCCTTTCCTCAGCACTGAAAATGCAAAAGATAGTTATTTCTACCCTGTCTACTGAAAATCCTCCTACAGTTCGTTAGTCCCTCCTTTCCTTTACTAAATAAAATCAAATGTAAATGCTTTTCCATGATCGAGAATCTTGTAGTCCGCCACAAAGCGCTATCACTCTGAATGTTAACCTGCATCGCAGAGAGGATGTATGTGACAGTGGTCGCACCCAGTACCTCTGGGCAAAACCTTGAAATTTCTTTTACTAAATCTCTGATACAACTTGGACATGCCATGTTCTTCCCTATGAAGACAGTGTGGGGGAAATAATCCAGGGAACAACAGTTTCTGGTTAAGTGGATTCCAGTTAATCCAAAATTTACTAGAAATAAATTTTCTATTTTTAATGAATAGAAATGAATATGTGAATTACACATTTGCTAATTCAGGGAGTAAGTGAATCTCATTAGCACACAGGTTATGGCTACTGGATGGGATATACACTAGACATTCAAAGGACCAAATCATCTTCATGAAACAAGTCACCCCAAGTTTCTTAGATACTTCACATGCTTGAGAGCCCCCTTCAGGCCCCTAGGAAATAGTTTAATTCATTATTAGTATTTTCAAGCACTAATTCACAAATACATTATTAAAGAGGCATTTAGCCACATGGTTAGTATGTACCTGATTTATAGACAAATATTTATTATTTTCTATAGCACGGGGGATTATTGTAACCTATCTGGTGATGGACCCCGAATCGAACTCTTTAAAGTCACCGTTGTATTGAGTTCCATTTTTTAGAATATGTAAATAGAATATTAATATTTTAAGTCCTTACTGAATATTTAGCCTCCCTGTTAACAGGATCCTCAGTGTTGCATCAAAGAACCTAAGAGGTTCCTGGGTTGTTCTTTCACACTACAAGATTCTTCTAAAACTTATGTATAGCTAACATTTAGTGGATGTAGGTGCTACTGTAAATGCCTTTCACCTTTTAGCTTTAATCCTCACAAAACCGTAGGTGGTTGGCGCTCTTGCTTTCCCCCCAGTCTAGGGAGGAGACAGTTGGATACAGAGAGGGTTAGTAGGCTACCAGAGTTATACCATGAACAGGAGACACAGCTGGATTCAAGCCCAGACGCTGTGGCCCCAGAGCCCTGGCTTGTCACCACTCGATTATATTGACTTGCCCCAAGTCTCATGCATGACATGTCGCCCCATTCTTAACCACAAGGGGAAAATATGGGATGTAGCAGAGAGGCCATGGAGGCCCACAGACTTCAGTTCCCATCCCAGCTCCAACCACTTACTTACTGGCATCATCTCAAATTCCTCTGCTGTGGAAAATGGGGATGGTGACCCCACCTCATAGCTTTGTGATGAGGATTACGTGAGATATATGTTATGTGCCTAGCCAACCCCTATTTCCTCCTGAGCTGTTGATCATATTTTCCCCAAGTCCCCCCGATAAAGCCTGCAAACCTACCTTTTAGCCCACCGCACAAGGATCATAATGTCCTCAGCATTAGGCTGGTCTAGTGATTTCAAAGAACCAGTCTCTCCTCTGGTTCTTCAGTAATTATTTTTCTACCAACATAAGTAGAAGAAAAGAATTGATCATTAGTATCAAAATATGCAGTAGGTATTTTGAAAACAGTGAAATAAAAATAAAATATGGTTTTAAAACAATGTTATATGAGGTGATACATCTTTTCTAAACAGATTGAAAATGACATTTTGTTATGTTGCAAGTTTTAATCCAAACAATTCTAAAGAGAACAACAGGGAGTCACTCATGCAATGTAGAAAAAGAGATAAATAGCTAAAAAGAGAGAGAGGCAGAGAGATATATCCTTGTTAATACAAGGGAATAAAAAACGAGGTATGATACTATCTGCAAAATTTCAAAGCAGTTTTTACGCAGTAGTAATGATCCCAAGAGAGCCCAAGTAACATTATTAATTTGTTTGCTGCTTAACTGTGATAAAATTTGGGATCTGAGCTGCCCATTGTGTGCAGTGCACTGGGGCAGATCGAATGTACTCAAGAAGACCTTTCTCAGTCCAGTAATTAGGTGCTATTGACATTGTAATCTCTGGCAATGTTCTTAATGAGCCCCAAAGACACGAATCTCATAGATAAAACCTCAAAGTAACACTGACCCTTTAAGTACCTTGTCGGTAAGAGAAAGCTCAAACATAAATATCTGAAGCACAGGAGAAACCCAAATTTAAACCTAGATTACATTGTTTTGTTCATTCTCTGAGACTCTGAGGGAAGAAACATCGAGCAGGTGATTTTAAAGGCTTTTAAAGAATAGTGGAACAATCGTAATATATTTGAAATAAGTCAAAAACCATTCTTTTCACCCTTTGAAGCTCTGGACTTGAAAAGTATTTTTTTCTAAATGAGTTTCCCACCAACTTGTAAAGATAAATATTGAAAGTGGAGTTCAGTGGCCCCTATTTTTAACACAAAGATAATTTTAAAACTCACATAAGAAATTGGAACTTAAATAAAAGATAAAAAGCAAAAGAAATTTCAGGCATAGTGTTAACATCATTTTGTATATCATTTCTAGATTTTAACTGTAATTAATATAATTTAGTGAGGTTTTCAAATTCATATTCAAATGCATATTTTATATTACTATATATACTACATATTTGCATAAACTATAACATCATTTAACATGTAATTGATGGCTATTAAAAATGTTAGAAGAAATAATTAATCCATAAATATGAGTTAAGTACCAGGACTAAGCTGATTTACTAAACATAATATATTAAGGGGTCTGTAAGTGTTAACGATATCACTGCCATCAACTTCTCTACTATTTCCCTATTATCACCAATTACCTACTATTCATACAGTGTATGTCTATGTTATTATACGTCATCGTTGTCTTTGAGATTTGAGCTAATCTCAACTACCTATCCTTAGGAATTTTTCCTGCTCTTCATACCTATATTCTAGAGATATTTTGTCCTCAAGCAATGGGATTTAGGATATTAGATGGTAATGAAAGCCTGGAAGATTAGCAGTGTGTCTCTTAAAACATCTTTCCAAATACTGTGAATTCTCAGTGACATAGAAAAGAGTCAAGATGACCAGTTGGGTTAGAGAATTAATCACAAAAATCAGAGGTTCTCTATCTAACTGAGGCTCTGTCCATCAGTTGGAGAGGGGATTGAAAAACGTGAAAAAGGAAAATGAAAGGTAATCTATCCTTTGAACACACAGTGTTAATCTTTGAAATAAGTAAGCAGGAATTTGAAATTCAATACTTTGAATTTGTAAGATTGTAAAAACTGAGCAGAAAAGAGGGTTAAGACATATACATATTTTAAAAAGTACTTTCTTAATTTGATGTCAGGACTGTCTTGTATTAATTTAGTCTAGTGATACTTTTAAGTATCTGTGGGCAATGTTTCATTTAATAAATGCCACTAAACACATTCCTAATTGTGCCCCCAAACTGGTACTGAGAGCTCTTCAAAGCATAAAGCATGAGACAAGAACACTTTCTGGTGTGCATTGTTATTCACATGTTGGACCACGAGAGGAGTCCAGCAGCCTCTCTGGATCTCCTGACCACTAATTGCATCCCAAACCTTAGCTGCCTGGTTGCTGCCCTGTCAATTAAAGGGTCTTATAAGTCATATAAGCCATTATGGTGATAACAAAATATCGAGCAAGGGTTTAATACATACTGCACAGACAGTATGTATTAATTTTTAAATTTAGGAATGGTTCTGTTACAGAAATCACAAAATGTTACAACATATTGGGTATAGATTCATGCAAATTTGTGGGCATATCACGTGCACCCCTACTGAGCTAGAAGTGACATCTTTGAGTGAGAAAGGTACCATATGAATATTACTTTCAACTGGAGGTACCCCAAGTTTGGAAACTGAGGGAATAAATTAAGATTAGAAAAGTGGGTATTTGCATCATTGTATAGAAATTTCAGCAGAGGGGCACCTGGGTGGCTCAGTTGGTTGAGCATCTGCCTTCCAATCGGAGGTTGATCCCAGCGTCCTGGGATCAAGCCCCATATCAGGGAGTCTGCTTCTCCCTCTCCCACAGCCCCTCCCCCTGGCTCGTGCTCTCTCTCTCAAATGAATAAATAAAATCTTTAAAAGAAAAGAAGAAATAGCAGTGGACTCCAGTCCTCAGCTAAATACTACGTTCCTCGCTATGTTCCTCGTTCCTCTTTAATGTAGGTTTCTCATCCTAAAAGAAACAAGCACATAGAAAAAAGTAGGTCGGGGCGCCTGGGTGGCTCAGTTGGTTAAGCGACTGCCTTCGGCTCAGGTCATGATCCTGGAGTCCCGGGATCGAGTCCCGCATCGGGCTCCTTGCTCGGCAGGGAGTCTGCTTCTCCCTCTGACCCTCCCCCCCTCTCATGTGCTCTCTCTCTCAAATAAATAAATAAAATCTTAAAAAAAAAAAAAACGTAGGTCATAGGGAGAAGCGTGTTGTCTGCTACTAATTTCCACACACTGTAAGCGAGAGGTGACAAAAAAATGATAAAATGATTTTATTATTTGTGTTTTCCTATCAGTAAGAACGAATTGAGGAAAGCCTTAATTTCTTCATAGACATATTTAATGTAGGAACTGTTTTAAGTTTTACTGTACAATATTTCAAATATTAGAAATATAGAAAACATAAGATTGTATCACACCTGGCTCTTTTAGATTTTGCCATGCTTGATTCATAAAAGAAAGAAAACCGTGAAGATTGAGTTGAAGCTCCCTTGGTAACTATTTCCCTCCTTCCCTCCCTCCCTCCCTCCCTCCCTCCCCAGACGTAACCACTGCCCTGATTTTGTATATTTTATATTTCTGCGCACACGCAGGCACACACACACACAATGTCATTTGGCATGTTTTCAAGGATTATATAAATGATAGTGGAATGTATGGATTCTTTTTTCCTCATGAATGTTATGTTTTTAAAAATCTAATTACAGTACTTTGCTGTATCTTGAGCTCATTTATTTTACCTGTTGTGTAGTATATTCCATTGTATGATATTCTACAATATATTCATTCTCCTGCTGATGGGAATTTAGAAGATTTTCAATTTGTTGCCATTGTAAACACCACTGCTATAAACATCCCTGTACATTTTCATAGTCATAAGGGGGAGAATTTCTCTACAGTAAATTCCTAGAAATGGAGTTGCTGAGTTGAAGAGTATATACATCTTTAACTTTATTAGATGCTCTCAAATTGTGCTACTAAGTGGTTATGCTAATTTAGATTCATACAAGTAGTATGAGTATGTTCCATATTCTTACTAACACTTGAGATTTTAATTTTTGCTGATCTAATGGGTGTGAAATTATCTCCCATTTTTTAATTTGAAATTCCCCGATAACCAGTGAGAATAAATTTTTTTATTGACCATTTTGGCTTCCTCTTCTGTGAATTGCTTGTTTTTAGTAGTTGAACATTTTTATATTATTTGATTGTTTTTCCTTTTTTGATTGATTAGTAGGAGTCTTTATAAATTCAGAATATTAGCCCTTTGTCAGTTACATGTTTCACAAATACCTTGTCACTGTCTGTAGTGTGTCTTTCAACTTTGCCTTTGATGTCTTTTTGTCAAACCAAAGTTTTTTTAGTTTTACTTAGTTTTATTTTTCCACCTTTTAATTTATGAATTGTTCTTTATTATCTATTTTAGAAAATTTTTCTTATTCTAAATTTATAAAACTAATCCTACATTGTCTTCTAAAAATACTGCCAATTTGATTTTCACACTTAGGTG